ATATATATATATATATATATATATATATATATATATATATATATATATATATATATATATATATAAATGTTTTACTTTAAAACAATAGTGTTGTAATATAACTCATTTGCGATTTTTGATGTCACATGATAATTATGTAAAAAATGACTGTCCAGTTTGTTCGAACTTGCACCTCTATACTTAGTCTTTTGATATATATAACCTAAATTACTGTTCTGAACGAGACAACAGACAGAGAATGTTTTATTTAAAAACGTCACAAAACCTTCTCGCTACCTTAAGTGTTCTAAGCAGGATATTGCCCAGACTAGCGATATATAATTAAATGCAAATTAAATATGTACAGTGTAATTGTTCATCAACGTGTAGTGTAATTTCATCGAAATTTAACAGTTGAAATCAGCCATTTTGGAATGAATATCATCCGTTTCTGTCTCGGTTTCAGGTGGATAAGAGGGCCAAAACGGACTACTGGTCCTGCATTCATTATTTGCCTCGGATTCGCTGTCGTCTTCAGGTAGCCATTCTTCATAGGGTAGTATGTCTTTCATTGAGTCACGAACCTGAAAGGAATGTACCGTCGTTTTTAGTTTTCAATATACCTTAGCAGTATGTGGTCACGGAGACCCTGTTGAAAGCGTGGGTACCACGTGCACGAGATATATTCCATTCTCTCCCGTCATCTTAATATTGGAATTTAAAGGGCGGTGGTCGTCTCACAGCGTGTTCGAATTTTCATGTAAATAAACAATGTATTTTACACGCGTTGTGTACGTCGCTATGAGCCCCATATCGAACAGGACGCGACGTGTCGACCACCGCCCTTTAAAACGAAAACTTTACCTCTTCTATTTCTTGAAATACTCTCACTAAATTCAATCCAATTAATTTTTCAATATTCTTATCACTCCAGCCTCGCTTCACCATTTCTTCAACTAGATACGGATACTTGGAAACGTCTTCTAGACCTACTGGCAACCTGGAAATAACAAATAAGTAATGTCCTGTCAAACGAAAATGAAACTTAACATGTTTTTATAATACATTATGAAGCAATGGGGTACATTTTAATTTGTATTTAGTGCTCAACTGTATATGATTTTTTAACTTTGGTTTTAGAAAATAAATTGAAGAAATGACAGTGTTCATCAATGTTTTATAGGTTATTTGTAAGAACAGATCAGAACAGAACAGAACAGAACAGAACAGAACAGAACAGAACAGAACAGAACAGAACAGAACAGAACAGAACAGAACAGAACAGAACAGAACAGAACAGACAGAACAGAACAGAACAGAACAGAACAGAACAGAACAGAACAGAACAGAACAGAACAGAACAGAGCAGAGCAGAGCAGAGCAGAGCAGAACAGAACAGAACAGAGCAGAGCAGAGCAGAGCAGAGCAGAGCAGAGCAGAGCAGAGCAGAGCAGAACAGAACAGAACAGAACAGAACAGAACAGAACAGAGCAGAGCAGAGCAGAGCAGAGCAGAACAAAGCAGAAAAAGAAATAGACATTACATTACAAGACCATCAAAATCGGATCCTATTCCAACGCAATCGTGTCCACATACTGCAGCGAGGTGGTCAATATGATCTGACGATATAAATGAACATTCAGAATTGATGGTAAGTCTTCATAGGCACAGTGGTAAGGTTATCTAACTATTCGACATTAATACTTTCGTATATACTGGACGGTACGTTTATTTTTTCATTCATACAAATTTATTCCCTCCAAAAAATTCTCATTATATCGATAGTTTTGAGTTGTCATATTACGAGAGATATGGTAGTCATGGTTACAATAACAGTGATATTCGTATTGTTGATTTTCATCTACAGTATTTAATTTCCGGTAGATCAAATTCATATACATACTTAGAATGAAGTCCGTCATCATTGTTACCTACCAGCAACTTGACGGATGTCGCATACATCACGTTTGTCAGGTTCACAGTTAAGATATGTAGGAGAGAACACAACCATTACAATTCCTCTATTCTCAGCCTTACAGGAATAAAAATAAATATTTATAAAACCAAAACAAAACAATGGGATCACAACAACAAGAGTAATGTTCGAAGTTCAATATTCACATGCATTGAATTTGATTTTGGATCTACAACAGAAAACAAACATTCCGCCGTATGTGGCGCACGTCACTGGTACACATAATCGTTGAAAATAGTGTAGGAGGTCGACCATTAGATCCCGGGAGTTGGCAGAACTGGGAACAAATAGGAAGGAAAAGCCCTAGAAAAATTCCTACCCGGAACAATAACAGGACGAGGTTTTAAACTGACATTGTCTAACTAAATATAAGCAAATTGCATACTCCTCCCGAAATGTTTAAGGAAACTTGTGTGTCACTAAAGGTGTTCTGAGTAAAATACACGAGTTGATTTATCGAATTATGATTGATAATACAGATGTCACGCCTGATAATAATTATGTGTCCTTACGCGTTTTAATAAAGCACTGGGCGAATGTAGGGTCAATGTTCTCTGCATTTCCGGGGTTGCAATAACTTTTATTTTTTCTTTGCCGGTCAAAATACACAGAGGGATGAAGTTGAAATTTTGTCATTGGTCATTGGTCATCAGTTAGTCTGTTCATAACTGGCCAATCTGATTTGAAGGTGAAATTAACATCTTTGAGCATCGATTTTATAGTGAATCACCAGAAGTCAGAAATATGTTGTATGTTTCATTGCTGGCATTTAATTAATTATGCAATAACATATGTATGGAAGGTCAATTTAGGTGCGTGACCTTTATGTGTCAACCAATAGCATTGCGTTTTATTTCAGTTGCCTGGCTGTATGGATTGGGCCAGCATAACAGGATTGTATGGTTTACTTGCTTAATAAGCTCAGTTTATATGTTTTAAATGAGATAATAGATAATGAAGATGACATTTAAGACATGTCACGTTGTATCTATTCAGATAGCCAGATATCGCAGCTTATCAAAAATATGGTCGCTTTTTTTGAATCGTCAAATGGGCTTTATTTTGCCTAAAACTATATTTTTAGTCAAAATCATAAATTAGCCAGAAAATGTCAGCAAAGAAACAAAAAAGTGACGTGTATTTGACAAACGGTCAGACATGGGGTATTGAAGCTATTTCGAATTTCAAAGATAAACAGACTTATTTGCATAATCACTCTCCTTGTGCAAAAATTGGCATATCTCATTTGTTAATGTCTAGTAAAGTAGTAAGCTGTGTTTAAGACATTCCTCATTCCTTATTGATTAGGTAAAAATCACGTAGTATTTATTTAATATGTTTAACAAAGTATTTGCCCTGTTGTGATATGTCCTTGATTCACATACATTTCCAAGTGACTTAGGCAATTGAAAACTTACAATAATGTACGGCGTCATTGGTCATTTCATGTTCGACGGAATGAGTTTTATATATTATAAAAAAATACCGAAACTGGTCTGTTTGTGACATGTAGCTGAATGCCTGGAAATTAGCTAAAAGGTAAAATGTACAACTATACACACACGTTGTTTGTGACATCCAAGAGTCGAATTGCGCACGTATAACTAGTCATCGTAAAAGTGCATTCACTACACACTACATCAAGCTGTCGTTTTGCGGAGGCAATACGACGTGGCGTGTGCTTATTGTGTCAAGATGCATTTGCTGAGATGTGAGTGTTGAATATGGTGTTTCATGTTTATGTGTTTGTCGTTTAACATTATACGAATTTTGACAAACAAGTATGTTTTCACACAAATACAAAAACGTTAAACATTTATTAGATGTCGATAAGCATTGATCAAAAAGTCGTCATTCTTAACCATTGCCTCTCTAAGACTTGCATTCATATATGCTCTTTTACAGATATTGAGAACGATAAATACGTTTTGTCAAATCTCTTAAAAATCATACAGTAATTGGAAAGCTAATAATACTTTTGGATGCACGAGATACATGATACACAACACTGTTT